CTTCTCTCAGATAGTTTCGCTACACGAATGAGCTTTGCTCCTCAGAGCTCTCCACCATAACGCAGCTGCGGGATGTGCCAACTAGACTTCGGCCTCCTACTCTAGCTTGTCGAGTTTCGTACATCCAGACCTGGGCTATACGAGCGCTCTTTGTTCCTAACGTGTCGAGATTGTGGAACAACCTACAAGAGAAGGCTTTTCCCAGTTGTACTAAGCTTAGGCAGTCCAAAAGTCGGATTAACAAAGTTTCTTTGGGATCTTCATAACAGCCGCGGTGCCCTGGCATTTAGGCTTCTGTGCTCTGGTTTAAAACAAAATTATGCGGAATTTAGGGTTAAATTTGAAGACATATCATGTGTAAAAGTGAATACATATATCAAATACTTAGAATATTAATTTCATGTAAAAGTATCACAAGACCTAGTATTAATAGCATATATTATGCCACATGGGCATGTCTCAAAAAACCGTTTGTACGGTACCTCGGAAAAGCAATGATTTTGATGACAAAACAGATTTTGTTTCTGATAGCTGAGGTCTTAAGTCACCTGATTCACGAGCCCGTTGTACTACATTAACAGAGGCACGAGGGGTTGGTTGCACTCGATTGGGAAACCGATCCGCATAAACATGTGCCATTTTTTATTTCGTTTGAGCCACGCAGCAAACACCACTATTCACTCACGCGTTACCGACTGACACATTGACTGAATAAAAACATCGTGATCTGCGTTTCAAATTCTTTCGCTTTTTTGTTTCCGATGCGATGAACCGATAAGGCGGATCATATACGTTGTCGCCAAACACGACCACATAATATTATTATTGAGACAGGGCGGTACTCAAACTTCTAAAGGGCTATAACTTTGTTACTTTAATTTTACCACAAAAATGTTAAAGGAAAAAAACATTTCTTTTGATCATATCTACTCACTGTTAAAATAAATGACTCAACTTCGAAGTCACCCTGTATAAATGCTTGTTGTTGTGCAAATATTTTTCTATGCCTTTTTACGATGGTTGATTCATGGTTTCAATACAAAGTGAGAAATTGACCTTGCCCTAGGGGTTCGCTTTGCCCGGTTTCCCTTTACGCGGAAAAAGGAGCGATTGACAGAAATAGAGGAAAATGCGCAGAAGGATCAATATACAGTATGACAGTAGCTAAACAGATCGAGTAGTCTGTTATTATACTACGTTGAAATTGTGATTTTTTTGTACTTATGGCATTACGAACGCTCAAGGCTTAAATACTCGAGGGTACAGTAAGGATGTAGAGGGTGATACAATGGAAAAGGGGGAGGCGTCACACGGACTATAACGAGGGAACACGTGTGCATGCTACATGCACACATTCTGGCCTCACTTCAGAGATCCGCTGGGTGGTTCTTCCACGTTCGACAGTGAGACTACTGTAGGAGTGTACTGTATACCCAACAAACAATTGTCACTCTTGTTGGGGTTGCAAGAACTTTTATACAGTATCCTTCATACAGCATCGTGTGTTGGAATAGCATTGACAAAGCGTTCTTAGAACAGATATACAAGCTGTGGTATAAGGGCTGTAATTAAAAGTAATACAACAAAAGTGTGAACACTATTGCATCCGCTAAAGAACCTTTGCGTCATAGCAAGATCTAATTTCTGTTAACCATACAACTATTCCTTTACATGATTTCATTTTATTTCAACTAAACTATGTTTTATGTATTGTACAGGCGAAGTGAATATTATTGTGAATTTCATACAAAAGTAGCTATATGATAAGGTTCTACACTGTGATATAGGGCTATTGAATGACGTGCTCAGCAAATTTTATGGTGATTTTGTCGTTCAAAGTAGTGACGCAATTTCTAGGGGCTTCGTGTTTGGTTCATATAATAATAACGATCAAAAATATGTCTATATTTTTAAGATGAAAATCTGAGCTTATCTGCTTCAAATCTTCAAGTCCTATATTTAGACACAATTACACTAATTTTTATCATTTTCTATCTCAATTGTCTGAGTGAAACAGAATCATTTGATTTTCAATAGAAGACTTTATTTTTTACTCAATACGGCGGATGGTCTCATCTAATCATGGCATCCTACTATTGTCTTTAGTTTATTAGAACAGTTTGATGTCGTCCGCAGGCGTTTATACATCAATTTGGCAAATCTCTGAAATGAAATATGGACACTCGTTACGCAGAGTTTATACCAGATCTACCCTATCTGTTCGAAAAGTTGATAAAGCCTTTGCAACGAATATTCATGCGTTGCCTGTATTGAAGAAAAAAAAATAATGGTCAAGGCATTTAATCTAAAAAAATTACAGCAGAGACTTAGGTTATGGTGAAGTTATATATCTACATATTAGGCAACACATGCCGAGCACAGCAATGTTGTACTATAGGAGTTGTGATATTGTTGCAAATGTATAACCTTCAACAGTTACTGAAAGACAATTGTATAAATGCTTCTGTTGAGAGCAACTGTTGGCTAAAGTACTAACTTTGCACACGGAATTAAGCAACAGCGCACCATTTTGTGGAATAAATGTTACCAACATGACTATTTTGACTTCCTAGCTTATATGCCACATAAAACAGTTTTATAAACGTTTATGCAACAGTTCAAAATTCATCCTATGAGGTGTTATATATGTTAACTATGCTATAAGCATTTTTTACACACCCCATTTTGGAGCAAATATGCTGCATGAAGCCAACTTACATATCATACAACATTAAGCCACCGTCTTGGAATTCAGGCAACAACGGCTTAAAATTTGGTTTGCCAAAAACTTGCAGCACTACTTTGCCAGTTAGATAGCAGATATCATCTTTGTCAGGAATCAGTAACTAGAACACCCTGTATAACCATCCAGACGGTCTAAATCTCCACCGTCTGCCAACTGGAATTAATTTCCTCCCAAACAAAATCAGACGCAGGTAAAGCACCAGAGCGTTATAATCGTAAACAAGACAAAAACCTCATTAGCTTTGATTCCACGATGTTACGTAATATTAAAACGGAGCACCTTCGGCTATAGTATCACGAATAAAAACGTCACAATGAGAATAAAAAGGAGGTGAGCGCGTCTCTTTGAAACCTTACCCGAGCCCAGTGTGTGGTGGCCTGGGCGCAGCAGTTTGATACATCCTTTTTATTTTATGGACGGACCGAAACATAATGTTTAAAAATTACGACTATTGCTTTTTTGGGGAATTTGTAGGTGCCAAGGTATAGTGTATAAGTGTCAGTTGAGGCTTTTCTCTTTATATTTATATCGAACATAAATGCCTACACTTCATTCTTTAATTATTTATGGATGTTTGTTGTATTGTCGCCATTTCGCGAATATATTAACAATTTCCTTCACGATGACTGAGTGTGTATGGCAGTGTATCTTCTAGAGATGTTTGTCTTAAGCTGCATATTGTATATGCAGTAAATTTTATTTATTTGTAAGCAGAAAGGCGTTGAGCTTCATTTACATGTTTGGGTATACGCTGTCTTGCGGTTTCTATTAGTTTTTTTTTCACACTGTAACATCTGCAGCATTTGTAGATGGACAACTGACAAAAATCTATCACATTATGTTAGTAAAGTGCAGGCTGCTACCAATAGTTCGATATAATAGACACAGAGGTAGAAATCAATTGAAATCAGTAAGATTAGCAATAATGTGTATCATACCAGTTGAACCAGGTGTTAAATATAGTATCTTGTATGGTACCTGATACCAGACTTTAGTGGAAATATCACATCTGGACACTTGGGGAGAACAGCCTACCTTACGAACATTATTACTGGTTATTGCGAAGGTCCTCAAATCCTCCATAACTGCAGCTTATATAAAAGGTCGGCCATCCGTTGGTTTCTTTTTTATTTTTTATTAAAACTACACTCTTCAATTATATGTAACACTGTATACTTTATTCAAAAGAATACACCTTCCGATTATATCCATGAAAAACAATTTCAGTTAAATGGCTGCCGCGGCTGGCCTGACAAGTAGTGCATCCTTTCAACCCAATTTTGAAGCCCATTTTCGATAGTTTGTGGGTCTATTTCATCAATAACTCGACGGATATTTTCCTTAAGAACACCAGTTGTTTGAGGATCGTTAGTGTAATAGCGGTCCTTAACAGTACTCCATAGGAAGTAATCCACGGGCGCATCACAGCTGCAGGCTGGTCAATGAACGTCTCCAAAACGGCTGATGACGCGATGACCGAACTTAGTGTGTAAAAGATCGATTGTTGAGTGAGAGACTGTGCAAGTGCATGTCACCTAATAGTGGCCACAAAAAGCTCATCAACATATCTCTATAGCGTTCCTCGTTTACTGTTACGCTGTTACCATCTTCATCTTGAAAAAAATGTTACCAACTGTCAAAATAATACCAACTTAAAAAAACCAATTGATAGTCCACCCTTTAAAATCAGATATTAAAACAAAAAGTGGCTTCATGGTTGTCATTTACATGGTCAACACGCTTTGCTTTGTTTGTGATAGGGACATACATTGTGATTTGAATATTCCACTTGTTCGGTTAAATAATCACAACGGTGACCGATGACTGTAGAGCACCAAGCAATACGAACTTCTGAAGTCTTTCAACGCAGAGCATACGTGAGTAAATTTATAAGTGATGTTAGCGATAATATAATTCATTCGCTAAGGTTATCTATCATTAGCTTGTAGAAACCTAGGGTAAATAATTGTCAAGTTGATCAACTTTAATATTTGGGCGTCAACGCCAATCTGAAACCCAAAACAAAACAAATATACAGCAGCCAGCCCACAGACACTGCAATCTTTCAGACTTATTGTAACTCACTCTCCGCCATTTTGGTGACTTTGCACTAATTGGGACAGGACTTGGTGTGAATTTCCCGTCTCTTGTAACTCAACAGTTCGCCCTTACAAAGGACCTGAAGGGTCAAATCCATTCCTCTTCCAAATGGCTTTCAGTTGAGGACATCATCAAGCTGCCCTATTTTCTGCAGGTGTCCTTTGAGGTTATCGTGGGTGTTAGAAGACCTGTTAGGATACAGAGCTTACATTTCTGACATGAACTCAAAATATTATTCTCTACTTTGCCTGCATCTAGTCAGTAATTTCCAATATTCTTTAAATTGGTTGCGTTTTAGCATTTCCAATACAGCTTATATGTCCATATATTGGACCAGGACGTCTCGCTCTTGCAGTATGTATTCAATGACAAAGAAAACAGAACACCCAGCAAAAACGTTTGTCTGTCCGAAACTTTTTACTTCTATGTAAGTGTAAAAAATGATGAAAAAGTTTTGTAGAAGTATCAGTTGCCAAAGGGTACCTATACAGGGTGTACACGTTATGGTAGTCATTATTGAAATGGGTAATAGGGGGGGTCAAAACAAGTTAAAAAGTTCATATAACCCATGGTCCAAAAGTCAATAGATTTTTGTCTAAATGACTTTATAGTTTACAACTTTAAGTGCTTTATATCGACCACAATCACTACAATCTCACTATTTTTTATAATCTCATCTAAACCGTTTTTAAATTGGGTAATTAAAAATAAATGGCATTAAGTTTTCCTAAGTTAAGCCAAAATTTGTAGTCAGTAAGTAAGTAAGTTTCATTAAATTAAATATTTAAAACACACATGACAACAGCGCGTCGGCTTTTCATCACTCTTATCGGACCGGCAATCGATCGCAAACGGTAACAGTGGTTAGTTATCGGGCATCTGGCCTGTTGTTTCGTTTTTGTTCGCGTACGTCGTCGTCTTTATTTACAATGTCCTCGAATCAAGAGTTCGCCGACATGTTGTTAGTTTACGATGAAGCTCGTCATAATTCAAATCTTGCAGCTCAAATTTATCGCGACATATTTCGCCAACGGGTACACCCAGACAGAAGGACATTTGTGCAAGTGTACCAAAGACTTCGAGATACAGGAAGTGTGCCCCCTAATATTCGCACTCGAGAAAGACAGGTTACTGTAGAGCAGGAGGAACAAATTTTAAATATCGTGGAAATCAATGCAGATATCAGCACTTGGGAATTAGGCCGCGTAGGACTATCGCATACCATAGTCCATAGAATCCTACGGGAAAATTTGCTTTATCCCTACCATGTACAACGAGTGCAGGCCTTGTTACCAGAATACTATCCTCGCAGACTAAGATCCTGTCAATGGTTTTTGCACAAAAACATTGAAAATCCGGATTTCTTTAAAAACATTCTAGCGACGGACGGACGGAATGTACTTTGACGCGAGGCGGGATATTAAATTTCCATAATACTCAGACGTGGGTCCAAGAAAATCCTCATACCATTCGTGAAGGTCATTTAAAACAACGTTTTAAAATAAATATTTGAGCGGGTATTCTTGACGATCAGGTAATTGGCCCATTCGAGTTACCCCAAAGTTGTCAGAAGAAGAATACCTTAGGTTTCTAGCCAATTACCTACCAGAACTTGTGGAACAGACCTTAGACAACATGCCATTACAACGGAGACAGAATTTGTGGTTTATTCACGACGGGACACCACCACACATTTTTAGAGGCGTCATTCAGTATTTGAATGAACATTATCCAAATCGCTGAATCAGTCCAAATGCTCCTGATCCTCGAAAATGGCCAGTAAGATGTCCTGACCTCAATCCGATGGATTTCTGGTATTGGGGAGAACTTAAAGGGATGGTATATTGGCTGGTCCAATAACAACTAAAGCACAACTTCGCGAACAAATTTTTAATGCTGCTGAAATAATAAAAGGACAACTTCGAGGATTAAGAAGAAACTGGGTTCGTCGTAATGAAGCTTGTGTGGAAATTGGAGGACGACATTTTGAACACCTTCTTTCAATACAAAAAAGTGCAGTGTGGGTTTAAAACAAAAACAATATATGTATCAAAATTGTGTTCCCTATTTATAAGTGGATTTTTTTAGTACGTTCAATAAACTTTCACACACCAGGTGAACCGCTGAGACAGTTAGTGGTAAATCCGTTTTTTTTAATTGTTTGCATTTTACGAGTACGTTATCAAATAATGAAATAATACCCAAGAACTAAAACTAACAAACATCATCTTTATTTACACTGCGTACCGTCGTGATTGACGTCTGGCATTGCGGCGTTGTCAGATTTTATTTAACTTTAAAGTCGCTTTTCTCTAAAAAATGCCGTTTTGACTCCCATGCTACATGAAACTTTTTGCTCCTTTTAACCCCCTCTGTCACCCATTTAAATAATGACTATCATAACGTTTACACCCTGCATAAATCTGCTCATTTTTTGCTTGATAATACCATGTACAGGGTGATTCACAGGTCGTGACCAAAAATGAAACATACACAGGACCGCATTTTAAGGGGTGTCTTCTTTGTAACATTTTTCCCTCGAGGGCTTCGTTAAAAAGATACGGTTGAAGTTTTCCTTGAAATGCGGTCCAGTTTATGATGTTTTATTTTTGGTCACGCCTTATGAAGCACCCCGTACGGTGGATCTAAGTCTAATCAAAACAGCAACTAAAATAAAAAAAATAAAGTGGTACAAATACTACTTAACTCATCATCATCGTTGTATGTGATTAATACAGTCATTGTCGTTTTATAGTTGGTCCGCCGTTCAACAGCTTTTATGACCGTATGACCCGCTTAATATATAAATTATTTCACACTTATTTGACGCCTCCAGGTTTTTTCCGATGTTTTATTTAATAACCAATCTACATTTCTATTGGGTATTCTGATTTCCTCGTCGCTGTTATTACAGTTCCCAAATCAATGCCAGAAGCTTTTAACGCTTCCATTGTCGCTGGATTTCAGCTACAGATTCCTAACATTGGTCTTGTTATTGACAAGATAATGTCTTCTGTTTGTGATTGTCGCCGAATTATTCTGATTGGGCGAGCGAATCATATCTGGAACCATTGCCCCGAATACGATCATAAACACGACCTAAATTATTGTAACATGCCGAACTGGTAGCAAATAGGTCTAGTCGGTTATGCTAGATGCTTGTGCACTTCAAAAATTGTTTTTGGATCACTATTATTTCAATTAGTTGTGATGTAGAAAGCGAACATGGAGTTGTTTTTACTTTTGTATGATGATGCGTGAATAATAAAAATGTGAATAATATTAGTACAATGAAGAAGAGGTAAATGCCAGAGATTCTTGCAATCCAGAATGCAGTGATTTTTGAAGTGCAATGATTTATAAAATACCTACACTTTTCCAGTGTGATAATTGAGATATTCATAAGTCAGCTAATTATTCTTATTTACTATGAAATTATCACAATTGTTGCGTTATAAACTTCAATAATCAGTGCAATCGCATATAGTTGATAACATCGGTGAAAAATGACTTTTATATACTCAAAAGCACTCAAGAAAATGGTCTTGTCAATATTAAAGTTCAAAGCTTACCCTCAAAAATTGGTTGGTGCCACGCTTGGGATTTTCACATAATATGATAAAATGAATTGTTTGAGCTCATGTACAGTGCGTTGACTATTTATGATTAAAAATTTGAATATAACATAGTTTTGGTTTGTGACATATGAGTCGAGATTATGACTTTTTGTTGTTGTTTTTAGTGTGGTGTGTCTGTTACGGTAGTGCAGAATTCACTCTGGCTCTTGCATTGGACTCTTCAATTATTATTATTATTATTTGCACTACCATCCGTATTATATCTTATGTTCATCAAATACATTGTTAATTTCACTTATTTATTCACAAATGCGTTATTCATAATTCGTGAAGCAAAATAATTACGGCTGCCGACATAACAAATTAATATGTGCCAGCATTATGTATTTCCATGCTTGCAGTACATAAAGTACTTCAGAATTATCTAAACGAAAAATCTGACATTCCGTACAAGCTTTGCGAGTTCAATTACTCCCCTGTGAAAATATGACATGATCAGCGCAGTAAATCTCTCAAACCAGGAACTACCTTCGCACAGTCTTATCCAGAAGTATGATTCACTTCACGTAATTCTTTGCACATGAGAAGATTACCAATGTATCAGGCTTTTCAATGATATTTTGTGTCCTGTGACCAAAACTGGATATAATTGTATAGATCACTTGAGTTCACTTGAAACGAGGTACTAAATATCTAGTATTGAAGGTATTTTCATTCCAAAATAAGTTCCGGAAAAAAAATAATGACGTCATTAGTGTTGTTTGATCTGTCACTCCTGATGACCCATCATATATACTAAGTGACATATAAATCCGAACACCCAGTTTAAATGGTTTTATTTTAATAAAAGTTGGTGACTGTATTTATCTTACTGTAAATAACAAGTGAAAAAATTTTGCAGCCTTATCAGTTGGACATTCCGGTTTTTATACTGCTTTTTTTTAATTCACTAACGCTCTAAAAATGAATATTTCAGCCGCAGTAAAGAATCAACGTTGGCGGATTTTGGTTCTTGACATCCTTTACGATCGGTTACGATGCCTAGAGTACGGAGACCTGTACGACTTCGTCAACTTAGTGAGTTTGATAGGGGCCGTATAGTGGGACTTCGGGAAGCTGGGCTTTCTTTTCCGGCAATTGCAGTTAGAGTGCAAAGAAGTGTAGACACTGTGGTTAGGTGTTGTCAGGCATGGCTTCGGGAAAGTCGTACGCAAAGAGCAAGGGGCACTGGACGCCGCCGTAGAACAACAGACCGTGAAGATCGCCGCCAAAGATTATTGGCCTCAAGGGAACGTTTCTCCACTACCAGGTCCATTGCAAATGAATGGTTTGCAGAACACGGAAGACCTATTGGCATGCGAAGGGTTTACCGACGAATGAGAAGTTTTGGTTTGTTTTCATACCGGCCACACTGGGTCCTCCCTTTAACTCGAGAACACCGACGTTCGAAGTTCTAGAACCCCATCTTTTACCCTATCTTGACACCCTGGCAGATCCAACTTTCCAACAAGATAATGCCCGACCACATGTTGCAAGAGTCACAATAGACTTCTTTCAACATAATGATGTAACATTGTTACCATGGCGACCAAGATCTCCCGACTTATCCCCAATTGAGCACGTGTGGAATATGATGGGT